GGGGGGGGTCGGGGGGGGGGGGGGGTGTCAGTTCCTGAGTGGGAGGGGGAGGGGAGAGGAGGAGGAGGGTGTGTCGCCCATGCCTGGTCCCTGGGGACAAGCTGAGCTGGGATCAGCTTTTCCTACTCCTCAAAAGGTGCTGTTTGGACTAACTGTAACCCTGGAACAACAGAAGTGAGTTCTTAAAATCCCTTAGAGATGCCGCCAGTGCTGTCTTAGATTTGTCAAACCAAAGACCCCAATTTCAGGCTTAGAAAATCCTGTGCCTAAACTCAGAAGTACTCAGGTGCAACTCCCTCTTATTTGACAGAGGCCAGGTGCAGCCATTTTCGGAGACATTGTTGGTCTCCAGGTCCTGGGCGAATCCTGAAGGAAATGGGGTGGGGGTGGGGTAAGGCACTCAGCAGGGCTTTCACGATCCAGAAAATATCCGAAAGTTTGTCCCAAGGTCTTTGTCATATTCACAGCTATATTCCTGGTGGCCACTGTGCCTGGCATGTGGCAGGTCCTCAATGAATATCCACTTGAATGAATAAATGAATGAATGAGCAAACAAATGAGATGACTCTTCAGAGATTTTGAAGACAGAGAAGGATTTTTTTTGGGCTGGAAGAGGAGAAGGCATTTTCAGCAGAAGGGACAGTAGGTGCAAAAGCAAAAAAAAAGGAGAGAGAAAAACAATAAAGAAATATAAAATATGATGATAGGACCAAATATATCAGTTGTGAGAATAATTGTAAATGGATTATTATATTTATCATAGTCACTAAAAATTGTGTTTTCAAAAACTATGTAACAACTTTGGAAAATGCCAACAATGAAAAAAGCAAGTTACTGATCTGTAAATACATATGATTCTAGTTTTGTGATAAAAATTTAAAAACATATGCACTTAGAGAAAAAAAAAAGAGAACACCCCAAATGTTTACTGTGGTTATCTATAAGGTGGTGGGTTTATGTGTGATTTTTATTTTGTTTTTACTTTTCTGTATTTTTTCCAAATTTTATACAGTAAAATATGGATTACTTTTACAATTACAAAAAGTAGTGGTAAAAAAGACGTTCGATGGGGTGGCATGGGGGTGTCTGGTTTGAGGAGAGTTGCGGTTGGAGCCATGCTATGAGGGCCAGAAAGTTTGAATCCAGTGGTGGGGAAGCCGGCAAACCTGTCTGTTCCATGGCTCTCTTCCCTTTCTTCCAGGGCCTCAGCAAGTGGAGCGTGCAATCACGGCCCGATCGCACCTCGCCTGGGTCCTGCTGAGACTTCCCTTTTGGTTTCCTGACCCCAGTTTCTTCCATCCCCCAGGGTTCCCCCTGATCCCCCAAGGCCATCAGGTTAGAGCTCTCCTTCCTTAGCATGGCGTTAACACCCCTCAAGAGCTGGCTGCCTGGTCAGCCCTTGGCCCAAACACTCTGTGCTCTCCAGTCTCATCAAATTCCTATTGCGCCCTGAATATGCCATGTGCTTTTTCTGGGAGAGGGGAAGGGGGTATAGTTTAAAATGTTGAAAATACCCTGTACCAGCCAGCCACAAAATAAAAAGAAAATAAAATATGTGTTTATTTTGTCCAGGCAGTAAAATAACATTTTTCCTTTTTTGCAAAAGTTAACTACCAGCACATTCCAGATCCTTAAATAACAGATTCACACACACACACACACACACAGACACACACACACACACACGATCATATACAGTATATAATACTTCATCTTATATTTTAAAATACATGTTTATATTTTGTTCTCAAAAGTGTGCAGAAAAGGCTGGCTGGTTAGCTCAGTTGGTTAGACTACAGCCTTGTTAACACCAAGGTTTGGATCCCTGTACTGACCATCTGCCCCCCTCTCTCCACCAAAAAGAGTGTGCATATAGATCATGGTTACAAATAAACCTTTGTCATCCAAAGTGAAAATTCCAGATGGAAGAAAGGTTTGAATGGGGAAGATCTTGAGAAATCTGTTAACGCCTTTCACTTTTGCAGACAAGAAAAGGGCCTCATTATAAGGTTCTAAGGACATTCCCTTTCTGAAAATGTACATTTACACCTGTCTTTCCTCTGCATCCCCATTTCTGACCTTTGACCATGTTCCATAGGGCAGGCAGGGCCTGAGAAGGAGGGTGGGCTACCTGGGGGCTGCAGGCAGAGCTGACTCCAGACCCCATCTCTGAGCCACCAAGCTCAGTCCCTGTGTGCCCAGAGGCAGATCATGCTAGGACTGTTGACAAGACAAGAGAGGAATACACTCGAAAGGTTCTAAAATTCCCAAAGCAGTAACAAAATCAGACCCACATGAAAGTAGAGAGAAAACTTGCAAACCCTAAGAGGGTATTCAGGTTGAGGAGCCTATGCAGTGGTGACTGCCTAGTTCTGAGGAGGTTTGGGGGAGAGCCAGCACACAATGCAAGCCCAGAGTATTTCGGAGACAGCCTCCTTGCTCCCAACAACAAGCTGCAAATGGGCACCTGTGTGTCCCAGTCCCCCGCAGCACTCAAGGCTGTCAGGATGGCCCAGCTGAGCCATGGCCAAGATTCCCGTTCAAGCAGAGCGTACTCCATGTGGGTCATGGGGACAGCCCAGCATTTGACATTTGCACACACTCCACCTGAAGCCAGCCCACCCACATTGTCCCCCCCCCGCCACCTCCTCAACACATCTTGACTTTCCACCAAACTCCTCAACAGTCAAGATTCAGCTTAAATGTCACCAACTGTGTGAAGCCACCCTTGCTGTCCCCACCCCAGACTCAGTGTTTCTTCTCCACCCTATAGCACCTTATGTGACAGCAGGAAAGATGGCTGTAATCATGCAAAGGTGTCCCTCACTGTTAGAGCGAGAGCCCCTCTAAAGCCATGTGTCACCTCAGTGGCTCCAGAGTCCAGGGTATGACACACAGTAGCTACATAATATGTGCTTACTGAATGGAGGGATGGATAAATGAATGAAAGAATGAATGACGGATTTTAAATAAACATATGGGAAGTCAGATCTGTCTTTTGAGTTAACCCCTTCACCCAGGAGGACAGCTTGAGGAAGTGTGGCCCAAGGTAAGAGGAATATTCTAGTCTGAATTAGATATAGTACTAATCTGACCTAAGATGGAAAAATGTGGAATATATAAAGCATATGTACTTCACAGGACCT